CACGCTCGCTCGCTCGCGCGCGCACAGCAACACGCAAACCCATTCTTGCGACTCCGGGGCTCTGAGGACCCCGCACGGGGAGGTGACCCTCCCGGGCCTGCCCGGGCCCTTCCTCTTCCTCCCCCAGCGGGGCGCGTGGTCGAGTAGCGGGTGGCTTTCCTGCTGCTTGGGAAGGGGGTGGGGGGCCCGGCCACGGGATGGGGAAGGACAGCACGAGGCAGGCCGGACCCCGGGGTGGGGGCTGCGGGCAGGGGTCTCGGGCCGGGTTCCCCGGATTCCCGCGGGGAGCGGAGGAGAGCGGAGCGGTCTGGGTCGCTTCCGGCCCCGGCCCCTGCCTCCCGTCGGGAGGACAAGCCCAGTGGCTTGTTCTGCGTGGGCTGCAGCCTCCTGGCCCTTTCTTTCTCACTTCAACGACACGGGCGCTCACAGTTTGCTCGCTTTATTTCTCTGCTTTCCCCTCGAGTCCCCGCGGCCGCAGAGGGACTGCCCGTGCGTGCTCGCCCCGCCCCACAGTTCGGGCCGACAGGCTCCTGCGCTCGCGCCCCGTCCGGCTTCGCCGCGGGGTCTGAGGCCGCAGCGGGTGGGCGCAGCCCGTGGGAAGCGGAAAGCGAAGGCAGCGGGGCGCCGGCGCTCGGCCCTCTGAGCCCCGCTTTACTTGCACGGCCCGCTGGGATGTGTAGTTCTTCCTCTCGCCGCCCTGCTCCGCCAGGAACGCGACTTGGGAACCAAAAAACTACAAGTCCCTGCATCCCCCGCGAGGAGGGCGGGAGAGACGCGGGGCTGGGCATTGCTGGTGCTCGGCGGTTGGAGATGGGAACTAACAAAGGGAGCGGTGGGCACGGCTGTGCCTCCTCCGCGCTGGCATTTTCCACATTACGCACGTTCCTGTGCAATGGGTAAAGGTACATTCTGCACTGCGACCCTGCGAGGCACTGCCGTATCCAGCTTCGGGAACGCTCAACTGCTTGCCCGCGACCACAAAGGCAGAGAGGGGGTAGAACCCCAAACCCCGAGAATTCCCCCCACTAAGCGCTGCCTCGGTGAGCTGTGCCAAAGGGAGAAGAGACTGGTTTAATCAAAAGAGAAGAAGAACTGGGGCCAGGTGGGAAGAGCTTCCTAGGAAGGAAAACGTGGTGGGGGTGGCAATCGGAGAATGACACAGGTTATAAGGAGTTATGAATAAAAAATGGGATTTACAAGTGTTCATTCCAAAGCAGGCAGGTTAGGGGAATAGGTAGGATCTTATACAATCAGAATTGAGTTCCAATGGTTTTAGATATTGCATGATGGATGAGCATATTATGGGGACAATTAAGTACTTTTTGGCTGCACTATTTAAAAAAAAATAAAAAACAACTGGCAAGCCTCAGACATTTCAAGTGAAAGCTCATATGCTTTCCCAATCCTTTAGTTCATAGGATCAACGGGATGTTATTCGATTTATTCTGAGCACTTTTCTTGGGGTGTCCAATCAATATATTTGATCTATTGACGTGATGGCTTAAAAAAAAGACTCTCATTCCTGTTGTCAATTAAAACCTAATTTTTCTGGCATTGTGATTATGCTTTTTAAAAGTCTTTCCCTGTTAGAGATACGTACTAAAGTATTTGCATGTGCTTTAAAATACTCCAGCCCACCCATTCCCCCAGAACATGACAGTATAGATGAAACAATATTGGCAAACTGTTGAAAATTGTTAGTTGTCTACTGCAGCAAATTACCACAAATTTAGCAGCTTAAAACAATACAGATTTATTACCTCAGTTTCTGTGGGTCAGGTGTCCAGGCACCTGGGGTTCTCTGCTCAGGGTCCCACACTTGCCAGCAAGGTGTTGCCCAGGCTGCCTTCTCATCTGGAGCTTAACTGGAAAAGAATCAGTTTTCACACTCACTCTGGTCACTGGCAGAATTCATCTCCTTGCACCTACAGGGCTGAAGACCCTGGCTTTTTGCTGGCTGTCAGCTGGAGACTGCCCTCTGCTCCTGGAGAGTACCTGGAGTTCACTGTCAGTGGGCTTTCCCAGCATGGCCACTTGACTTCAACCAGCCAGCAAGGCGAGTCCCCAGAGTGAGTAAGCTAGCAGGATGGAATCTTACATAACACAAAATAATCACACAGAGGTGACATCAAATGTGCCATATTCTATTGGTGAGAAAGCCAGTCACAGGTTTCCCACACACTCAGGGGAGGGGATTATATACACAAGGGTATGGACACTAGGCTGAGGGGGCCACTCTAGGGTATGTCCACCACAGTATGCTATTCTTATCTACTACATCTACTTATGTTTATATTTGAAATTTTCTTAATAAAGAGAAATGAATTATTTCTTTTTAATTATATCTGAGTTTCCCATTGCAAGTAAGTTTTTAGATAAGCTGATATGATTGTTTGCAGTTGTCTCCTAGGAGCACCTGTTTCTTCCCACCCCATGTTTACTCAGAACTTCAGCAATGTAGGATACATACCTAAAGAAGTTCACTAGAACCTGGTGTGAAAGCCACAGATTTTAGCTCACCACCTAAAAACTATAAGGCACGGTAGAGTTTATTCATTCATTTCACATTTGTTTGGGGACCTAGGCCATAGAAACGGACTCCAGGACTGTGATAATTTGGATGGGCAGAGGAAAAAGGCTTAGGATCTCAGGGAAATGGGAATGGTGGAAAAACATGCTGTCTAGTTGGAGTAGACTGGACTTGGGAGGGATTCCAGAAACCACCACCAGGATACTCGGGAAGTGAGACCAGGAGGAGAAGGAACCTATGGTTACTGGGATGAGCAAGTTACACTGCGGGCAGCTAAAGCTCAGATCCTCTGGGAAGTGCCCCAGAACCTGCCCCTTGGTTATTCCACCTGAGGGGCCAGGAAGCTGGACTTTATCCACCAACCTTTCTGTTATCAGTTGAGAGCTCTTTCCGGGAGCATTAACTCTTCTTTACATGACCACCCTCCTAACGCTACCAAAGGCATGGCCACCAGGAGCACTCAGAGCACCTGGCTGGCCCTCCCCTGACAGTCGACAGGATCTTTGATTCCAGTGGGTCTTTCCCTGTTGTCATCTGACTCAGGGGCCACTGACAACAGGGGTTATGTTATCAACGAAATTAGAGCTTTATACCTTTCATCTGAACAGCTCAAAGCATTCCACAGACCCACCTGGGTAATTCTCAGAATGCCTCCGGGCCGTCAAGAGGAAGTATGGACTTATCCCTGGTGCAGGAGGAAGATACTCAGATCCCAGGACACTGTGTGATTTATATACCTTTAGGGGCCAGGACGAGTATGTGCCCAGTGTGGTCAAAGTACATAGAGGTCAAAGGGACATGGTCTTAGAAGGAGAACTTTGAAATCTCCAGAAAGGGATTACTTCGGAGAGTTCTGAGATGGCAGGAAGTGACACCAATATTCCTCAGAAAACCAGACACCTGAATTCCCTCCAACCCAGAGGGCTGGCTCCCATTTTCACATGTGCTCAGCACATCTGGGAACATCTTGTATCACAGCATGTAAGGTGTTTAAAGGAATAAACAGCACTACAAGAAAAATTGGATGAGACAAAAAAATTTAATCCAAAATTTTCTTGTAATTTTCTCAAGTGACTTTTTCTTGCCTTTTCTATCACTAAAAACTTACTTTTTAGTACTTTTATAAACATAATACATGTGCATTGAAAAAAAATTTTTTTAATTATATTACACATAAATATTTTAAATGGAAAGTTCAAGTTCCATCATCTTAATCAGTAACCTTTTGCTGACCGTCCTTCTGTAACTCGTTTACGCCCACATACACACACACACACCTACCTATATCATTTGACAAAAATGGAATTGTATTATGCATGCTTTCACCCTGTATGCTCTTTTTATATATAATCATAGTATTTTTCCCCTTAATCCCCCACCCTCACTCTTTACCAAGTAACTGATGTTAACAACTTGGTCTATGCCCTTCTCCAGGCTAATATAGTTATAGGCAAATATATATACATCCCATATTCCAATTTTATCAATTGTCCTAACGATGTCCTTTATAGTCAGTTTTTCCCAGTTCAGGATCATACATGGCACCTAGACATTAGGTGCCTTGAGTATCCTTCAATATGGAACAGTACCCCCTTCCCCTTTCTTTTAGTTTCTTGCTTTGGATATTTTAGAAGAGTACAGGCCATTTACTTTGTACAGCGTCACTAAGTTTGGGTTTGTCTGGCATTTCTTCACAGTAAAACCCAGGAGGTTTCAGCCACGTGCATGCCAGCAGCGTCGCTGAAGCCACAGAATACTTGCCTGGGTCAGGCCGCTGCTTCTCCTAGGCCCCCAGTCCCTCGCACACTGATAAGAGCATTTTTGAAGAAGCATATCCCTACTGCTTCTAGCTGCAGGTGCTGGATAAATCTGGAATGTGCCTGAAGCCCAAGCCGAAGCCGACACCCAAGTACAGACAGTTGTGAATTAAGAAACAAAATACGCTGGGTTTTCGAGAAGCGAAAATTATGAAGAGGTACAAGGCTCTCAAAGTATTTTGCTGATGGCTTATCAGACGTGCACCAGAGCAGCAAACATAATGGTAGAAGGGGATGGTCCCTAGCAGTGATGAGAAACAATTCTACTAAAGTCACACCTGGGCAGGAGACCCCAGAGTCCAGCTCTGAGTTCCCCAAGGCTGGTTCCAGAGGCGGGAGCCCAGCCTCTGTTTTCAGAACACCTACATCTGGACAGTCAACACCCACATGCTCCTCAAAGGACATGAGCAAAACAGAAACATCTCAACCAAAAATGCTGCTTAGAAAGAATTCCAAAAAGAGTCCACAGTGGATTTTGGAAATTTCTCGTCTCCTCTGTAAAGAATGGATTTTAAGAAACGTCTAATGCTACTTCTGAACTAAAGATACACAGTGAAACATTTGACGTCTATTTATTCTCTGAATACCAGGCCCAAGAACAGACTTTTCTTGGCATCTTTGGCATTTATGGGAAATAAAATCCTTGTTGAATGAGTAACTGAAACCCACCTACCTCAAAGGTTGGTTGTGAGATCAAAAAATGTGTGGCAGTGCCTTGTAAATAGTAAATTCATATGCAGGCATTAATCGTACTTACTCTCCCTTTTCTCAGCAGTTTCACTGTTCATATCATTTTCTTTCAGAAGAAAATTGAGACCTTTCTCAGAGTGTCAACTTACCCATGAGCAAGCAGTTCACTGTTGAAGCTAAGGAGAAGGTGGTAGTTTAAGAATAAAATCAGGAGAGGACAAGACAGACTTATTCAAATTGATTCGTTTTCTACCAAACGAAGCTTAATTACAATCCCTCTATGGATAAGTAAGAGAGGCACATTTGGTGAGCACTGTTTAATACAGAAAATGAATTTATATTTTTCATTCAATGCACATTCAAATGAAATTCCTGGTCAATATTTTCTATGTAAACCTATGACTGATATTTGAATCTTTTCATACTTCCATTTAAAGATAAAATTTGAGCAGTCTGGATTTAGATTAGTGTCCTCAACCCCCTCCCCTTGCCTAGTGCCAAATTCAGTAGACAGTGTTGATGATAATGAAAAACCAGTTGAAATAATAGCAAATGCTGGTGAGGAGGTGAGATAGCGGGACTCTGGTCCACTGCATTCATCTAGTGCAGTCAGAACAGGCAGGGACAAGCACACCCTCTGAAGCAATGTGCTTTTTGGTAGTAAAAAGAATTAAAATTTGAAATAACATGTCTATTACTTGAAGACTTGATAAACTATAGATTATTCATACGATGAAATATTATACAGAATGAAATGGGAAAATTGGAACTATAAGAATAGAGATGTAAATTTCAAAAAAAATGATATAAAATGAAAAAAGAAATTTGCAGAAGGTTGCATATATATGTTCTTATATGAATGATAACGGTCTATTATTTGTGGTTATGTACATGTATGCCAAATTTTTAAAAAAACCCAAAGAATGCCAGATGGAAAATTCAGGCTCTTTGTTCTCTCTGAAAAGGAAGGAGGGAGGGAAGAAGAAAAAGGAGGGCCAGCATTTAAGCTGTGTGATCGACACGGAAGATTATTATATTTTAATAACTAAACTTTTTTGTAACTCGGCAATCTTTGTATTTTTTGAAGCACGGGATTATCTTTTCACTTCCATACCCCAATGTGTTTAGAAATGAATAAAAGCATTTTCAAATAATGTTTGCCCAGATAAGTATCTGTCCTTTAGAAACCACCCAGTGTAAGGGGATTTTCCCTTTCACCATCCTTACTCTGTAGTCGGCCAGCCCCTTTCTGTCGGCCACTGACAGGGAGGTCTGCATCCCCTCACCGAGCTACAGGCAGCACTTCAGCAGCGGTGACCGGAGGGGTGGGCAAAGTGTGAGCCGTCAGCAGGGTTAGAAGGAGCGCCTGGGAAGGAAGAAAGGCACGTTTCACTCACCAGTGCGGTGTAAATAGGGTAAAGAGCTCAGTTATATATTAATATTTGTTGGGGCCCCTGAGACGGCTTTGTCCACTTGTACAACCATCACCACAAGAAAAATTTAACCATGTCACTTGATCTCAATCAGCTCTTCTCTGTTAAATATTTACTACCCTCCTGGCAAAAGGGAGAGTGGCTAATAAAAATTCCATTTTCTTAACTTTAGTATTTTAACAGGGCAATCAATATATCTAGATTAACAGTGTTCAGTGAACTTAAGGCAAAGTTTTGAAAAATCTCTTGCAGGCTGCAAAAACAAAAAAGTATGGAAAGGGAGAAGTGAGGTGATATGAAAAATGTAAAATTTGAACCTTAAAAGTGTTGGGTACCCGAGGTAAACTTGAGTATGTTGCTGAACTGTATCTCTGCCCATCCGCAGAGTCCCAGGCACGCGCTGTAGACGGGGTGCAGAGATGGCCGAGCACCAATCTCCGGTGCTCAGGGCAGTGACCTAAAGGTGACCACGGCCTGCCCGCAGGCCGTGGAATTCGTGCCATAGTGATGGTGCCCTCGCTGGAGCGCAGGGCCCAGTGAGGAGTGACCAACTGTGTATGTGCTGCCGAGGTGGGCACCCGAGTAACCAACTGCCGGCAGTTTCACGGGGAAGCTGGCACTTAGTCAGGACCTTTACTGAAACTCTCCTCACCCTCTGTCAAAGGTATAATGAGAAAATTTCAAAACCAAGGACTAAAGGCAACTATCAAGGCATTGTTTAAATAGTTGGGGAAAAATCGCATGAGTGAAGAATTGTTTTTAAAAATAGATGTGTTACAGGCTAAGTGTGCCCCTGCACCCTCGAAATTCATTCATTGAAGTCCTAATCCCCAGCGACTCGGAATGAGCCTGTATTTGGAGGTAAGGTCTTTAACCCCAGCGGGCCCTGATCCCTTTCACAGACGTACACCTCGGAAGGTGAGTGAAGACTGAGAGGAGATGGCTGTCCTCAAGCCAAGGAGGGAGGCCTCAAAGACACCAACCCTGCTGACACCTTGGTCTCAGATTTCCAGCCTCCAGACTTGGGAGGAAATAAATGTGTGTTGGTTAAGCCATCAGCCCTTGGTACTTGGTTATGGCAACATGAGCAAACTAATTCAATATGGTACACATAAAATGATGGTCAAAACTCTACAATATTTAAGCCATATTACTGAGTTCTAAAAAGCATGCTATCAAACACATGTATAGAGTGATCCAATTTTTATAAAATCGTGGAACTAGCTACATAAATATGCATAACAAATGTCACTGGTGATTTAAAATTTTTTCTCCATTAAGCTTTTCTGCACTGGTCCATTATGTTAATAAGCACATGAGTGGCTAAAGTCAAGTGGGAATAAATACATAGAGCAAGAAAAGAATGGAGCTCAGGGCAGAACCTTGGGGAATGCTGGTATTTAAAGGACAGAGGCGGGAGGGGGCAGAGGCAGCGACGAAGGATGGCGGGAGAGGAGAACCCGCGGTGTGATTCCGAAGAAGCCGATGAGGGCGGTGGCAGAAGGAACAGGTGCTCGCCAGTGGCCACCGCCACGGGGCTGCTGGAGGGTGGGGGGCATGTTGCTCTGGCGCTGGGAGACCGCTGTCCTCGGGGCGCAGCTTGACGGAGTGGTGGGGCAGTGTGAGGGTTTGCGGGAAGAGTGGGCAGGAGGAAGGAAGGCCGCAAAGCCAGGAATAGCCTGACTACAAGCCGGGATGCGGGGATGCCAGTTACCCGAGAAACCCCGCGAAGGGTATCGCAGTAACACTGCATTCTGCACGGTGCTGCATTCTGCGCGGTGCCTCGGAGGTTTCTGGGTCCATTCGTTCTCGTGTAACCTGTCAACTCGCCTGGAGTCTGCTTAGTGGGGAAGATGTTCCTGTGAACCAAAGGTCTCGACAGTGCAATGTCTTCGTAGCACGGCTAGAACAGCAACCAGCATGAACCTTAGGAGAAAGGTTCCACAATGTGACAAGAAAGTGCTTGTAAACTCATTTGATGACAGGGAACATGCTTTCTCATCTGGCTTCCCTACCTCTCAGCCAGGTTCCCTTGGCATGAGGCCACGCACACTAATAGACAAGGACAGGAGTGGGGGAGAAGGCATGTGCTTAGGAAGTGTGCCAGGCACCGCCCTTTCTCGCTTTACCTTAGCCAGGTGGCCCTAGGCTGGGTACCATCAATGTTATGAGAATACGTATACACACTCCCCAATCTACGTACTTGACTCTCATGAGAGCATCACTACCCACTTCGCTTCAATTACTTACCTTTCACACAATTAGGACAGTACTATTACTGCCCCCTTTTTATAGAGGAGGAAACTGAGGCTCAGAAAAAGTTATGTGTTTTGAGATCACACAAACTACTTGATTTAAAGTCATTTCCTGGCTACTGCGGAGGGCACAGTGACCTGCGACATTCTATTCCTGGCTGAGGAGCCTGCTTCCTGCTAATACCCGTTGTTTACGCAGAGTTAACAACACCTACAAGAAGACTATGATGCTGTGAGAGGGGCCGGTGTTCCCTCCAGGTGGGGCCAGCCAGAAGGTTCTGAAAGGAGGCAGCTTTAAGCTCTGGCTTTGAAGGGGAGGAAGAATTTTAATAAGTGGAAATTCCTTTTACCACAAAATCAAAACATCATCTATTTTTACTGCCATTCTTTGTGTCACTCCTTTGAAGCTGTCTCTAAACAGCAAGGCATCACTGGCACCAGCATCTTTTTATTCCTGTCACCTTTTATTTCCTTCAGGACCCTGAAATTCCCTGGCAATAGCAGGCAGAGCTGGGCATGCACAGAGGCTCAGACGCCAACGCAGGCCGTGACGGCTAAGCCGTGGAGGCAGGATAACCTGGTCACAGTGACCCCCGTAAAAGACAGTAGCCATTGTCCTTTGGATGGGTACCTCTGAGTGCTGTGCCAAGCAGCTCCTAGGAGGGGCATTGTCTGAGGCAGCCGGAATTCACCCTGGAGGCATTTTAGGCACACTCTGTCCCAGGCTGGAGGTGTTGCCTGAATTCACCTTTAATTGTTGCCTGTTACATAAAATCCTGAAGTTCTCTGTCTCTTTAAAGTTGGAAGATGGAGAGGTTGAGTGGTCAATTTCACCCGTGGGAGCTGGCGCTCTGACCGGGGCATTTGCCCCAGCACTTTCTAGCACCCTCATCTGACCCTGTGCCTCCAAATATGTCTCTGGTTGGCTGAGTTGCTTTGCCAGAAAGCAGAAAGTAATTGTTAAAATAAGTCAGTTTTTAAAAGATTAAGAACACTTTTCATTTGCCCCCATCAGAAGTCTATAGTTCCCTAACCTGAATAATACAGTCATCAGAGGAAGGGGGAATGTTTTAAGAAGGGTCTGTACGCAGCGAGTAATTTCAGGACACCTATAGAAAACAAGTCAATGATATTGAAGAAAAATTCCAAAGAGTCATTTGCTCCTATCAAAGATGAATTATTAATTAGGAGAAGAGAAGCTGGGATAGTCAGTTGATAACAGTCCGCTGAAAGAAACTGTACACCTTAAGAAAACAGCTCTCAATAGGCCAAAAATGTAAACATTCGATTGAGTGCTAGATTTTCACATTTTTGACTTATAGAAAAGGCTTAAGGTGTTTCAAAACCTCATTCAAACACATGCAGGATGTGAGGAACTATGTCCTCATATTCAGAAGGGGAGCTTAATTTTAAGAACAGCTTACATTAGGTAATTGAAAAAGCTTATCTCTAGAATTATGACTAAAAAATAAGATACTAAAGTGATTTCAACTAAATATGCCTACAGTAGGATAGACCATCACAAGTAAGGGACCACTCACAACCTTACTTGCAACCTTTGGTCCCAGGTAATATAATCCAAAGAATGCAGCAAAGGATGCTGTAAACCAGAGTAGCTGAATCTTCACACATTTCCTCTGTGATTTTATAATATTTTTAAATCTGGGTACCTAAAGTGCCATTTCTTCCCAGTTTAAAAATAATGCTATTTTTATTATTGTTTCCTATGGAAACTGTTTCCCTAGGCATAGCAACGGCCATTTCCCAACAGGGACTTATTTAAGCCACTTTCCCTTGTTGAGCTTTGGCTAACACAAACACATATTTCACCCCAGTGGATTCTTCAAGGCTAATCCTGCCCACTGGGGAATCAGCTAACGCTGCCATAGCCACACTCCCAGCTGCTAGGCAGCCAAGGAAAACCATTCTGTTCCCCAGGGATTAGTTTGAGGAACTTCAGGTCCTTGGGGACCAGTGGAAAGTTACAGAAGCTGTGACCAAATTTTCAGAACTCTCCAAATCTGCTTGAGGTCAGATGTCGAATAAGGCAGTGAGACCCAGAAGACACACATGCATTGCGGGAAGCCATCCGTGCTTGCGCTGGAGAGAAGGGACATTCCCTTCGCAGGGCACATATTTCTGACAACATACTACTGTTCTTTAAACATTAAAGACTGGGAAACTTCTACTTGCACCTACGTATGGATAGCTTGTAGCAGACTCAAACAGCTAAAAAGCACCCCCTCCAAATAAAAAAACTATTAAAACAATGATCAGTGACCAAAGCAGCCAGACTTATGGGGTCAAGATCCTGGAGAGAAATAAAATGCATTGAAGTGAGCCAGGTAGTTTAGATATAGTTTATAGAGGCAGAGACAGAGACAGAGACACTGACAGAGCCGAAGCCAGAGCCGGAGACGGAGATGGAGACAGAGACAGATACATAAATAGCCGGTGCTGCAGGAGTCTCACTGGT